AGAACTAACCCAAACAGCAATAGGCAAGGCATAATTGACATGGGAGAGAGGCATAAAGCAGTCACAGGTGTTATTAGAGAGAGCTAAGACAACAACTGGTAATAGCGATAACGTTTGGGCTAAGGCTAAACAGAATAAACAGGACAGGGTACCGTGTAAAGGAACAGTCCAGCAGGCATCAGCTGTGCAGCTGAGTGATCATAAGGTCCAGTGAACAGCAATATGTGAGTCCGAGAGCAGTTCAAATTGGTGCTTCAGCACAGCTAGCAGGGAGCACAGTTGTAGTTTGCGTGTGCTAGCAGGCCGGGGCTGGCAGATGGATCTTCGTGGTCGTCGCAACGGGAAGCCTGTTGAAACCACATCAGACGATTTCGTCTGCAAACCAGTCGTGTTGGATCGGCGGGGCTCAGTGTCAACACTAGGAGGTCCCGTCCGGTTGACAGAGAGGTAGATAGCCGGGAGATGGGCCTGAGGCTAGCTCAAGGCTAACTGGTGCTTGCTATAGGGCAATGGTAATTAGCCAACAACAGGTTGCAGCTAGCTAGCTGGTTGCGATGATCCGGCGCTAGGCTCCAGTGATTCCGGCAGAAAGTCCAATAAGCTCTGGGTCGATAGCACGCTGTGCAGACTGGCCGACGAATTGTCCAGGCTAGAGCTAGAGCTGGCTGGTGGATAGTGTAGGCCACGGACAATGGTGAAGACGCTAACGGTGACTAATAGCAAGTAGCCATTCAGTTGCAGCTACACTAGTTTCAGCTTAAGGTTCTTGATGAAAGTTATAAAGAAATAATAGAATCCTTTCCACGTTGGGTGAGTCGGGTTGCAGGAAAGTATATTTAGTTAAAGAATGAAAAGTAAAAATTGAGAAATATATACAAAATAGACAAAAAAACTAGAAACGGGATATTTACACAAGGACAATGAATAAAAGCGACCGCACTGCTACGCCATCTTGGAAAACATAGATCTATGTTGGCCTGTGTGGTTCCCAATCAGAGGCAGCTGTCGCTCGTTGTCTCTGATTGGGGACCATACTTAGGCAGCCTATTGGCACAAGTGGGTTGTGGGATCTTGTTCCAGTTAAGGTATGTTGTGTTGTGCTGCCTTGGACTTCACGTTTCGTTTTGTTGGTTGTTTATTCCTTTAAATAAACATGTATGCATATCACGCTGCGCCTTGGTCTGACCCGTTCATGAACGATCGTGACACATACCCATAACATCAATCAATCAATCAATCAATTTTATTTTATATAGCCCTTCGTACATCAGCTGATATCTCGAAGTGCTGTACAGAAACCCAGCCTAAAACCCCAAACAGCTAGTAATGCAGGTGTAGAAGCACGGTGGCTAGGAAAAACTCCCTAGAAAGGCCAAAACCTAGGAAGAAACCTAGAGAGGAACCAGGCTATGAGGGGTGGCCAGTCCTCTTCTGGCTGTGCCGGGTGGAGATTATAACAGAACCATGCTAAGATGTTCAAAAATGTTCATAAGTGACAAGCATGGTCAAATAATAATCAGGAATAAATCTCAGTTGGCTTTTCATAGCCGATCATTAAGAGTTGAAAACAGCAGGTCTGGGACAGGTAGGGGTTCCATAACCGCAGGCAGAACAGTTGAAACTGGAATAGCAGCAAGGCCAGGCGGACTGGGGACAGCAAGGAGTCACCACGGCCGGTAGTCCCGACGTATGGTCCTAGGGCTCAGGTCTCTCAGTTGGCTTTTCATAGCCGATCATTAAGAGTTGAAAACAGCAGGTCTGGGACAGGTAGGGGTTTCGTAACCGCAGGCAGAACAGTTGAAACTGGAATAGCAGCAAGGCCAGGCGGACTGGGGACAGCAAGGTGTCAGCATGCCCGGTAGTCCTGACGTATGGTCCTAGGGCTCAGGTTCTCAGAGAGAAAGAGAGAACGAGAGAATTAGAGAGAGCATACTTAAATTCACACAGGACACTGGATAAGACAGGAGAAGTACTCCAGGTATAACCAACTAACCCCAGCCCCCCGACACATAAACTACTGCAGCATAAATACTGGAGGCTGAGACAGGAGCGGTCCGGAGACACTGTGGCCCCATCCGAAGAAACCCCCGGACAGGGCCAAACAGGAAGGATATAACCCCACCCACTCTGCCAAAGCACAGCCCCCGCACCACTAGAGGGATATCCTCAACCACCAACTTACAATCCTGAGACAAGGCCGAGTATAGCCCACAGAGGTCTCCACCACAGCACAAACCAAGGGGGGGCGCCAACCCAGACAGGAAGATCACGTCAGTAACTCAACCCACTCAAGTGACGCACCCCTCCTAGGGACGGCATGAAAGACGGCATGAAAGAGCACCAGCAAGCCAGTAACATGATGCAGCCACCACAATCCTTGAGTGGTACTCAGTGATGTGTTGGGTTGGATTTGCCCCAAACATAACCCTTTGTATTCAGGACATAAAGTTAATTGATTTGCCACATCTTGTTTTGTTTTTACATTAGTGCCTTATTGCAAACAGGATGCATGTTTTGGAATATTTTTATTCTGTACAGGCTTCCTTCTTTTCACTCATTTAGGTTAGTATTGTGGAGTAACTACAATGTTGTTGATCCATCCTCAGTTTTCTCCTAACACAGCCATGAAATTCTAACTGTTTTAAAGTCACCATTGGCCTTATGGTGAAATCCCTGAGTGGTTGCTTTCCTCTCCAGCAACTGAGTTAGGAAGGATGCCTGTATATTTGTAGTGACTGGGTGTAGTGATACACCATCCAAAGTGTAATAACTTCATCATGCTCAAAGGGATATTCAATGTCTTTGGAAAATCTCCCTGGTCTTTGTGGTTGAATCTGTGTTTGAAATTCACTGCACGACTGAGGGACCTTACAGATAATTGTATTTGTGGGGTACAGAGATGAGGGAGCCATTCAAAAATAAGTTGCACATAAGTTACAGTGTTTAAATTATGTGACTTGTTAAGCGCATACATTTTTTGTATTCCTGAAATTATTTATTTTTGTATTTTTATTTACAATCATGTAATATCTTGTTGTTCTTGTCAATTACTGTTCTATACTTTGTCATGTGTTTGTACATTTGATGTAGACCTCAGGAATAGTAGCTGTGTAGTAGCTAAGGGGGATCCTAATAAACTAAACTAAACTCATCACCTTCTCCACAGTGAAGTTTATGAAATGCTGGCCTTATAACTTGCAAGAATTACATTTGGAGATCCAATCTTCTGTAGCCATGCGCAAATGACAGTATAGCGCCAAACCTACCGAATTGATATATGATTTCTAGAATGTTTTAATTATATGCCTGGACTTTTTACTGTATGTTTTACAATTTGTATCGTGTTAAATATTAGCCACTATCGGTAGCCACTGTCAGTTATACCCACATACATTTATAACGGTCACTTTAGTTTTAGTTTCCTTACATTTTGCATCATTCCATTACATTGTTAGTTTACCTTTCTTTCCTCTGTCACATCCGTGTGTTTGTTCATGAGGATCGCTAGCAATAGTGTATCATATTAGGCCAACGTATTACAAGTTGTGCAATAATTTGGGACATGTAGCCTATTTGAATCATTATGGAACGCAGGCCATACGTAGCAGTTTAAACCTGGAGCCTGGTGCACAGTTCATGACAATTGGACCTTTGTCATCACAATTCCATGATTCGTGTGGATTATTAGGGTAGATTTATAGGACTCTTGTTGGAGGACTCCGAATTTTGTGATTTTTTTCTACAATCAAAATTGATAAACAGTTGACTAGACAAAGGGACACAAACTGGCAACCATACATTTATTTACTGAATATTACAGAAACATTTTTGTCAATGTATTTTTTGTCTTGGAATTGTATTAATTCATCACTGACATACAGTATAGGACTACTTCCTGCATAGAGCACTCTAAGATGGTGGAGAGACAAGGTTCTTCAAGTAAAGAAAAAGATCTTAGCAAATGCTTTCAGAACATGAAAATAAAAAACGTGTAATATTTTATTTTTGTACACAAAATAAAGTCTGTGCTTCACACAACATCAAGGATTACCCTGCTTACATAGAGATAGTTGTTAAAACACAGTCATATTCAAAGCTTAGTTAGAAACATGATGAAATACAAAATCTCATACAAAATATACCTTCGACAGGCAGCATTTTGGATTCAAGTCTGTTAAAACCATCATCATAACATTGTGGGTTGTTAAGTATATAATAATCCATGGCACATGTCCAGTAAAGTGCAGAATGACTATCTAAGTTCAGTGCATGTAGGCTACTTAAAGTGCCATTTTGGGTCACAGATACTCCAGTATAGACTCTACTTTAATCTTTGGGGAAAGTCGAGTGTGCTACTACGGTCATATTTATCTGGATATTAATATGTAACACATGCCCAGATAGCTTTGAACAGAAAATCAAGCATATTGAATCATAGCATCACAACAAATATTGTGACAACAAAAATATATATTATTGATTGTTTTTCTTTACTATGTCAAAGCCAAAGGGGAAGTTGTAAACATTCATAATTCAAGTGATTGGAGATGAAGGCTCCCTGAGTTCAACATTGCAATCTTGGCTTTGACAGACACTGCCAGTCACTGACAGAAATTGATGAATTGCTAGAAAAATAGACTTTTGATTGGTGGAAAGTTACATAAAGGGCTTGGTTGCCATGGAGTTGCTTAGTGTCAATTCCAACCCAACAGGAGGACAGAGGAGAGAGAGAAGAGGAGGACGAGGAAGAGAGAGAAGGAGGAGTGGCCTGGGGAAGCTCCACTGCTGCCACCAACTGAGGGGGTCGTGATAGCGATGGTAGCAGTGGTTGTGGTGTTTGTGGCGGTGGTGGGGGATAGAAAGGGTCCCAGTTTGTCAGCAAGGAAGTTCTTAAAGTGAGAGGTTTTGGTGAAGACTTGGATGGTGGAGATGCGGGGACTCTGGCTCGATAGTGCTTTGCTAGTGCTGTTAGTGCTACTGGTGTTGCTGCTAGTGGTGTTGCTGCTAGTGGTGTTGCTGCTGCTGCTGCTGTCGACAGTCAACACAGCAGTCTGAAACCACGAGTTGCCCTGCTTACACATCAGAGGACCACCAACATCACCCTATGGGGAGAGACGCATGGGTTAATATGGTTATACTGTTATGTGCTTATAATAACATGATGCAAGCAAAATAGTAAGACGGGACAGATTAATAGATCAACTGTACCATACCTGCAGTAGTGTCACAGTTCCGGTGCAAATGTTGTCCGAAGATGAAACATTCACGCAGTCCACCACAGAGGTCTGGAACTCCTGCAGGACTTGCTCAGCTGAGGACAGAGAGAGAGAGAGTGTATTACTTATCATACCAATACACACACACACACATCCACCCATACTCCTAAGGTCGTATCTTTTCGGAAACAATCCCTAGCCAGCCCCTACCCTAGGCATTTGTGTACATCTGAGAGGCCTGGATAGAGTGTAAGCAATATGGTGAAAATCCCACCTATCCTATCAGAGGAAAGGTGGACCTACAGTCCTACCATTGCTTTTCCAATTCTTTCAGATGTACACAAGTGTCTAGGCGCTATAGAGGTTGTTCCTGAACAGGCACATTTCTCACAAACACACAGACAGTTGTCCATCCACTTACCCCCACCCTGGCCCGTGCCCCAGCCAGCCACCCAGCACTTAGTCCCTGTGCTGAAGGTGCTGATTCCCTGGTCCACACAGATAGGCTGGATATAGTTAGACAACTTGGGTTTGCTGGCCAGTAGGAGGATGGCCACGTTGTTGCCCGTCAGGTTGCTCATGGTGATGTTGAGGACATTCAGGGTTACCTCGTTAGGGTTGGAGCCGTTTTGCTTCAGACGGCCCAGGATCACGGTCCACTGAGAGACGTTGGGCTGGCTTGAGAGATGGAATGAGTTGTGTCTGTTTAGTGAGGGACACTAAATTCTTCATTCTGATTGCTGTCTTATGAAATGCTTATGTACTGCTTATGAATGCGATATGTAGGGGTTATGGATGTTTTATGAAGAATGTGTTACTCCCTAGGTAGGCACCCGTCATACAATATCTAACTTTTTGGGCCACCCCGACCAAATTCGCATAGAAATGTGAGTTATAGATCTTTCATTCCCGTTGAAAGCAAGCTGTAGATCTGTTGTATGTGTGCTATTTCTATGCTTCCCATTCTGAAGTTTTGTTTTTGCATCTTTTACTTTCAGTTTTGTACACCAGCCTCAAACAGCTGAAAATACAATATTTTTGGTTATGGAAAATATATTTCACAGTGGTTTAGATGGTACAATGATTGTCTACACAATGATTGCTTGTTTTGTCACATAAACTGAAATTAGGCAAATGGCGGCACGATTTCTGCATAGTGCATCTAACTTTAGTATGAACGTTGTCATCATTTTGAATACAATTAATGATTGTAGCAAGTTCATATTTTCTTACTTGCAGTTGTTGACATAAGTATTTATTAACTTAATATACACTGCTTATGAATGTGATATGTATGGGTTATGTATACTGAACATAAATATAAACGCAACACGTAAAGTGTTGGTCCCATGTTTCATGAGCTGAAATAAAAGATCCCAGAAATGTTCCATTCGCACAAAAAGCGTATTTCTTTCAAATGTTGTGCACATCTTTGTTTACATCCCTGTTAGTGAGCATTTCTCCTTTGCCAAGATAATCCATCCACCTGACAGGTGTGGCATATCAAGATGCTGATCAGCATGATCATTACACAGGTGCAACTTGTGCTGGGAACAGGGCACTCTAAAATGTGCAGTTTTGTCACACAACCCAATGCCTCAGATGTCTCAAGTTGAGGGAGCGTGCAATTGGCACACTTACTGCAGGAATGTCCACCAGAGCTGTAGCCAGATAATTGAATGTTAATTTCTCTACCATAAGCCATCGTTTTAGAGAATTTGGCAGTACGTCCAATCGGCCTCATAACTGCAGACCATGTGTAACCACGCCAGCCCAGGACCTCCACATCTGGCTTCTTCACCTGCGGGATCGTCTGAGACTAGCCACCTGGACAGCTGATGAAACGGAGGAGTATTTCTGTCTGTAATAAAGCCCTTTTGTGGGGAAAATGTCATTCTGATTGGCTGGGTCTGGCTCCCCAGTGGGTGGGCTTGGCTCCCAAGTAGGCATATGCCCTCTTAGGCCCACCCATGGCTGTGGCCCTGCCCAGTCATGTGAAATCCATAGATTAAGGCCTAATTTATTCATTTCAATTGACTAATTTTCTTATATGAACTGTAACTCAGTAAAATTTTGCATTTATATTTTTGTTCAGTATATATGTATCTATGAAGGTATCAACACTTTAAACTGTCCAGCTGATCAGGATGGTAAAACCAGAATTGTACAGTAGTTTGGGAGAGATGTTGGCTGATGGCTCTCCCCTTTGGTACACTACAGTAAATACTACAGACAGAGCGACAGAGCGACAGAGCATTGTATACAGACCGTTCCAAAAATTCAGTACATAGAACCATGCAGAGAGTGACGCAAACGGAGGTCCGTCGCGCAGTTGGCCCCATGCAGTCACATCCAGACACTGATTGACATGATGATTACACCATGGCCATGATTCTGCAGCACTGGTTGTGTAAAACATGGATGGTGTTTTTGCACAGCTATCCCTAAAAGGATTTTCACTAGCACAATGATTGTACGAATGTCCTACGTCGGACTAATTAACCTTGGTTAACCTTTTGCATGAGTCTTGAAAAGGAAAGCGTCATTAAATGTTAATGTAATGGCACCTTGAAAAATCTAAAAATAGGTTATATGACTAGATTTCCTTAGAATCATGTAAGGACTGACATTTTAATCCAGAATTTAACTACTTGCTCTCCCCTTTCACATACAGGTAGAGTTAACTTACCTGGAGAAGCAGCTAGCGTCGCTCATGACAGAGTCCACCGCCACTAACGTGCCCCCGCAGACGTGTGCTCCGTTCTTCCGTAGGCTGGCTATCCAGGGCCAGGTGCCTGCTGTCGCCAACAAGCTTCCCCCACCAATACGGGAGTTCAAAGAGGCGCTGGCGCTGCCACACACCACAGCTGCAGAGGGAGAGACAGATAAAAGGGAGTAATCCAGTAGTCAGATTTGTTACAGAGGTAGAGAGATTCACATCAAGGTTTAGCCATATGCACAAGTTAGACTATAGGTGCGTACGTGCAGGTGTGGTAGTAGGGGTGGTGGTGGTTCCGACTGATGGCAGACCAGCGCAGGTGACTCTGAGGTCAGAGTCAGTCCCATTGGAGGAGAAGGTGACGAAGCCTGGCTGGTTACTGGTGATCTGGCTGTTGATCCAGGTCTGGAACAGGGAAACTCTGGCGTACACACCTGGTAAATTTGCCAGAGCACAGCCATGGCCAAAGCTCACAACGCCAGACTGGATCCAGCGAGTACCCTGTTTGCTCACCATCGGACCTCCTGAGTCCCCCTATGCATAGACAGATTTACAGTGTCACTGAGATTGAATTTTCACAGGATTATAAAATATAATGGGTCGGTTTCCAAGATGAAGCCTAGTCTCAGACGAAGAAGCATTTTCAATAGGGAATCTCTATTGAAAATGCTTTTTAGTCTAGGATTAGGTATAACCTGTGTCTGGAGAATTGGTCCAATGTGTAATTGACCGACACTGTAATAAACAAAAATGATATATTTTTTTAGGGGGTAGATCAGCTTTAATATTGCAGATAGATTGTAACTTCCATCAATGTAATTGTCTGCATCACTTCCAATCCCCCATATGTTTTTTTCTCGTATATATATATATATATATATATATATATATATATACACACACATACATATCCTTTTTAAAATCATATTTCCCTTCATTACTTTCCAACAACAATGCTTAGGCCTCTACATACATTTTTTGGACACAGTCAAATTTTACAATAATTATAATATTATTTATTTTTTACTCCTGAACTTCCTCCGATCATTTTCATGATGTCCATCTGGTTTGCTTCTATATGCCATATTTTTCTAACTGTGCTCTTTCACAAAAGCTCTCAACCTATAACCTATATACTTATTATGGACACAGTATGCTTTACATTAGTTAACAAAAAGGCATTTTACCTGACAGGAATCCTTTCCTCCTGCTGCTAAACCAGCACAGATCATGTTGTCAGTGATGGAGCCAACTCCATAGTTACAGTTACACTGCCTGTTTCCCACTACTGGTACATTCACCTCCTGTAGGGTCTGTGGTAGAGCTGGGATGATAAACGGAAAATTATCGACACCGGCCATACCAACCACTTACAGGCATTGCTGATATTATTCATTAAGATAAGTAGCCTATGCTAGAGAAATTTGAAATGAAATACGTTTGCTGATATGGGTGATTGTTAATGGGAAAATTGATGGCTACAACAATCAAACTAGTAGTAGTAGTTTAAAGGGTAATAAAAAATACTGTGTTGTAATGAATGTTATAAACGTATTGTGCCATTCATCGTTATCGCATCAATTCAGGCAATTTATCGCAATATACATTTTTCGCCATATCGTCCAGCTCTAGTCTGTGGTGAGGGCAGGGACACTGAGGAGACACATTCAACCCATACACAAGACAATATCTCTCAGAATTCTGATCCATCATCAGTAGTACTTAAAGCAAGCTATATCTGTGTACTCACATCCTCCACTGCTGGTGGTGCCCCAGCCGGTGACCCAGCTAGTAGTGCCAGCATAGAAGGAGCTGCCTGGTGCTGCCAGGCAGACTGGCTGGATGTAGTTGGTAAAAGTCACGGGGGAGGAGAGCTTCAGCAGACACATGTCGTTGTCACTGGTACTACTGAGGTAGTTGGGGTGGCGGATGATCTGAGCGACCGTCTTGCTTACCTCGTTGGGGTTGGAGCCCTGCTGGCTCTGACGACCCAAGGAGACCACCAAATTTGATGTACTGGTGCTGAGAAAAAGAGTTTCAAGTTAGAAGTGTATTAAATGTTTGAAGGGCCGGTAGCACCCACCTCAGCAATATTTGAGTATTATCGTAATTACGAACTTCTTCCCTTTACTTCCCACATCTCATTTTGTTTGGTAAATTAAAACATGGGGAGGAAAGTCTGTTTACAAAGTATTTTTACTGTCCCAAAAACTATTTAGTGGTTTTATGTGATCACATGACAATCTAAATATATATTATTATTCCTACTTTGTGACAGTTTGTGGAAATACTACAATACGGATTTGATTGAATTGAGCCCTGTGTTTTTTATGGGTCCTCACCTGGGAAAGCAGTGAGCAGCAGTCAGCACCCACTCTTTGTTGATAAGGGATCCCCCACAAAAATGTCTGCCAGATATCTGCAGACTGACCTGCCATGGCCAACTCCCTGGAGGAGCATCCTGACCCCCCACGATCCTAGTGTTGAGAGGAGAGATTCCACACACTAACAAAGACACAGATGGACAAGGGATTACAACAGAGCACACACAGGAAGTGAAGAGATTGGAAGCTCACAGTCAGTGAATAGGTGCATGGTTATGTCGTTCAATTAGGAAAAGAACGGACATTTGATTGAAAAACGAGGGGACTTACCATCCAACTGAGAGTGAGACCCTGTAAAACAGGAGAAGCAGAAAACAGTTGAACAGTTTGGTTTTGGCACACTGTGGGCAAACATGTAATTCATAACTCTTTGCACTCCATTGGTTTTATAGTAGCTACATACAGTCACGAAGCTCTGTCTGTCTGGCTGGCTAGGTGGCTGGCTGTGAATGATTATTGTGTTTTCTGACGGTACTGTACAGTATGTGTGTATTTAGTGTCCCTACAGAGTTTTCCTGTGAACAAACTCTGTCAAACTGTTTTCTTGTTATGAGTCTGTGGATTGTTAAGCCAAACGCCATCTGTCAAAACTAGTTTCATCACTGTGTGTGTTACCTAATGCTACTGTGCACTTAACATTATCCAGAATGTATGTTTAACACTAATTAGCACATTACCTATTAAAACAACCTATGAGAATAGATTACTCTCAGAATTACTAAGACATTTTTATATTGTATACTAATACTAATGAACTAATACTAAATAAATATAATTTGTGGACCAAAGCCTTATGAGTAAGATAAAGAGGATGATTAAATATATACTATATCTTTAGATTAAAGAAAAACAGGCTCACCAGGAAACAAAATCTCTAAACAAAAGATAACAAGAAAAAATGCACAATCATCCTATAAAGGAAGCAATGTGGTCACAACAAACAGTAATCCGTACTGTAGGACTGTAAGGGGATTTCACATGAAAGAATACTTGGTAGCGTTTTATAATGCATTGCTTCTACATCTGCATTGCTTGCTGTTTGGGGTTTTAGGCTGGGTTTCTGTATAGCACTTTGTGACATCGGCTGATGTAAAAAGGGCTTTCTAAATCTAATTTGATTGATTGAAAAAATGTGATTGATAAGACTAAAAAGGATAGATCCCCCAATCACCCTTCTCTTGCCTCCACTATTGTTTTGAATCTTCTCAGTATGTGACAAATCAATGGTTTAAAGAGGCTTCCTCTCCTTACCTACTTATTTGTAGTCATCTAAAAGGTGAAATTAAGCCAACTGCTAAACGTCTGTCATACTAACACTTTCACCTACTCTGTCTTTTCAGACCAGTGCAGCTAAAGGAGCACCTTACTTCTGGGTGCTCTGTGGGTGTGACTGTCAGGTTGGCTGGCTTCACATTCAGTCTCCACCCACTAAATTAAAATCAGGTCATATTTTGTAATGAATGTATACAACACATAAAGAGGCAAACAGACAAATCAGACTTGAGATATGTTTCTACAAGTTCATTGCATTACATAATGAACATACCAAAGATTCTATTCCATCCAACTGTTTTGTGTGAGGACAAACACAACTTGCCAGTCACCACCAATGTTCATAGACTTTGGAACCTCAATTTCCTCCCTGTACTCTCACTTAAGACAAGGACAGACAAGCATTGCATTGGTGACACAAGTTTCCACTAAGATGGAATATGTCATTGTCAGCCGAAGGCACAACATTTCCTTTACATGCTCATTGAACTAGTGTTAAAAAGCCATTCATTGGTCTTGCTCAACTCTCCAAACATTTCAGAAGGCACGCACTCACTCACTCACACACACACACACACACACACACACACACACACACACACACACACACACACACACACACACACACACACACACACACACACGCACACGCACGTCAGTGAAAGACTGATAGGCCTAATTAAGGTATGTCTTTTTCACATCAGGTCCAGTGGCACAAACAGGAAGACCAAGTGTCAATCATTTTACAGGTGCATCGATACTGGCTTTACAGACGTATTAGATCTAAGAACAAACACAGTCATACAGGCCGCAAATGTGGTGCATGTGTCAATTAAAAAATATGTATTTATTTAGAATGGAGACGTCTCTTCTTGAAAGTGCTTTAGCTTTTTTTCTCAAGCTGTTCACAAATGCAAATTCTCATGCAAAAAAAAAGTGAATTTGTCTGGCTGCCTAGTTTGTATAAAGGTATACACATCACATGCATAGGAACATTGCCTGTGGTCTTTTCTATTTCAGGAATTGCTCATCTCCTTTATGCTGTCATCAGTTGTTGTCATGCCATGCTATCATCAAAGTGAGCTCTCTCTCTCTCTCTCTCTCATTACTTAATGGCAGATTGTAGTTTAATGAGTCTCATTACTTGAATGAGGAATTTTGATGCTTTTTAAATGTTTTACAGGGGGAAATTTTTGTATTGAACCTTTATTTTATTGAACCTTTATATTGAACCTTTATATTGAGCTCCTGAGTGGCGCAGTGGTCTAAGGCACTGCATCGCAGTGCTAACTGTGCCACTAGAGATCCTGGTTCGAATCCAGGCTCTGTCGCAGCCGGCAGTGACCGGGAGACTCATGGGCGGCGCACAATTGGCCCAGGGTAGGGGAGGGAATGGCTGGCAGGGATGTAGCTCAGTTGATAGAGCATGGCGTTTGCAATGCCAGGGTTGTGGGTTCGATTCCCACGGAGGGCCAGTATAAAAAAATATGTATTCACTAACTGTAAGTCGCTCTGGATAAGAGCGTCTGCTAAATGACTAAAATGTATTTATCTTGGGCACTTTTGAGGGAGACCTGGGGCCTCATTTATAAACATTGCATACCTACAAAATATACCCCAAAACATGCACAAGCCAGTTTTCATTAAAACATTGGCATTTAGAAAAACTGAACTTGAGGTGAAAATGTGCTTACCTCCACGTAAACTTTAGAACACAATTTCTAGTGGTTGAAGTATTGCATTGCAAGCAGGCCGTTAATGAGAAGAGCAAAAATCTGTTTATTTTATCTTTGATAATCTGAACTAATTAAAAATAGGATTATTTATTTCCATAGTCATTGCTTTTCTAACTGTGATGGTTTAGAATACCATTCGTCAGATCTGTTATTAGATAAGCTATTTCAAGTATTTGGTCTGAGATCCGGAGCGCGGTTTACAATATCATTTAATGGAACAGACATTTTCCATTGACATAGCCTACTCTATTTCCAATTTCTTGAGTAGACAATCATTCTGAATTGGCAGGCTGTGCAGCATATTTACATTGAAGGGAAAATGCAATACAAAACATTGTTGAATTAAAACCTTCTGCTAACAGGTCCACAACAATTTGTCGTGTTTTTTTCCTTTTAGAAACAATCACAGTCCTTTGCCAAATACAGCAGAAGTCCTGCGCACAGTTTTATGAAATGGCGTACGCAGATATTAATGTGACATTATGAAACGTTTATAAATTAGGCCACTGGCCAAGAGGGAAGTCATCTGTGTTAATTATGGTTACCAAGTCACGTGTGCGATTCACCTTTCATCTCATAAATTGTTTTATGCTGTCCCCTTCCCTGTAATTGTGTTTGTAATTTTTAGCAAATTTTACCCCATTTTCTTGTTATCCAATTTTGTATTTACGACCTTGTCTCAATGCAACAACTCTCCAACGGGCATCCTCCGAGACATCCCCGCCAAGGCGCGCTGCTTCTTATCGACACTGCTCGCTAACCCAGAAGTCAGCCGCCCCAATATGTCGGGTCGTCACTAGTTAACACAGCCACAAAGTCATAAACCCTGCCTATTTCTACAATTTCAAACCTTAACCCTAAGATTAAATTAGAACCCAAAAAGTTCATTTTTGTTTTTTTTACGATATAGACAATTTTGACTTTGTGGCTGTGCTATCTATTGGGAACCAATGTGTCGGAGGCAAACATGGTTCAAGGAAACCCCAGCCGGCCTATACCCTCCCCTAGCCCGAACGACGCTGGGCCAATTGTTCGCTGCCCTTGGGAGCTCCCGGTCATGGCCGGCTGTGACACAACTTGGGCTCGAACCCCCCTTCCCTTTCTTTACTGTTTTGAAATTAGATGTATAACTTCAACTGGTCCACAAACCCTATACACACACTGTCCCTTTTGCAGTGTAATGAAGTTATGTTATGTTGCCATGATGCTCCGCTTTAGACGGATAAATGTAAGGACACACATTATACCTAGCTCACACAACATACATACATACATACGCTTGTTAAACAAATATTTGACAAATGTAAACATTCTGCCTTAAATTAGGCACAGGACCACCCTCAAGGCCCAAAACAGTCTAACAGGTCTCTCCTGTGTCACAAGGCACATGACATCCTACTTTGACTGTCTTTATTGGCTATGCCTGTATTCAATAAATAGTCAATACGGCCCATATCACCCACCACCAACACCATTCCATAACCTGACCAACTCCTTGACTCCAGTCACCAGTCAATAGAAGGAAAGAAGTGGAATAATGGGAATCTCGTCTCTTACCTTTTGAAAGGAGGGCAACTAGTAGAGTCACCAAACAGAGTGCTGTGTAGACTTCCATCGTTTCAATGCCAGCCACAATAGCCCGTCCTGTTTATGTTTATGCTTTTATACTCCGCCCTGTCTTCACTCCTCCCCTTTATCTATCTTTCTCTCGCTCACACAGAAACCTGAGTCAAACCCACACCCTGATACACCTGTTCTCTCTCCTCCTTCTCTCCTCCCTCTTTCCAAGGGAGGGAGGAGAGCCGCTGAGGTTGTCACAAGGGAAAGGCCATTGGTTTTCCATTGCTGTAATCTGTGATCATTTCTCCCGTCTATCAATCTATCGATGGGTATAGATATATATCTATCTCATCTGTAATTTATCCTGTGTATAAGAGAGGATGTGTTGCACAGTTATGTTCAAAGGGTTGTGTGTGAGTTTAGTGTGTGTGACAAGAAGAATACTTATAACCTGTTCAATGACAGACATGTACAGTTGAAGTCGGAAGTTTACATACACCTTAGCCAAATACATTTAAACTCAGTTTCACAATTCCTGACATTTAATCCTAGTAAAAATTCCCTGTTTTAGGTCAGTTAGGATCACCACTTTATTTTAAGAATGTGAAATGTCAGAATAATAGTAGAGAGAATGATTTATTTAAGCTTTTATTTCTTTCATCACATTCCCAGTGGGTCAGAAGTTTACATACACTCAATTAGTATTTGGTAGCATTGCCTTTAAGTTGTTTAACTTGGGTCAAACGTTTCAGGTAGCCTTCCATAAGCTTCCCACAATAAGTTGGGTGAATTTTTGCCCATTCCTCCTGACATAGCTCGTGTAACTGAGTCAGGTTTGTAGGCCTCCTTGCTCGCACATGCTTTTTCAGTTCTGCCCACAAATGTTCTATAGGCTTGAGGTCGGGGCTTTGTGATGGCCACTCCAATACCTTGACTTTGTTGTCCTTAAGCCATTTTGCCACAACTTTGGAAGTATGCTTGAGGTCATTGTCCATTTGTAAGACCCATTTGCGACCAAGCTTTAACTTCCTGACTGATGTCTTGAGATGTTGCTTCAATATATCCACATAATTTTCCTTCCTCATGATGCCATCTATTTTGTGAAGTGCACCAGTCCCTCCTGCAGCAAAGTACCCCCTCAGCATGATGCTGCCACCCCCGTGCTTCACGGTTGGGATGGTGTTCTTCGGCTTGCAAGCGTCCCCCTTTTTCCTCCAAACATAACAATGGTCATTATGGCCAAACAGTTCTATTTTTGTTTCATCAAAAACATGTTTCATTTCTCCAAAAAGTACGATCTTTGTCCCCAAGTGCAGTTGCAAACCGTAGTCTGGCTTTTTTATGGCGGTTTTGGAGCAGTGGGTTCGTCCTTGCTGAGCGGCCTTTCAGGTTATGTCGAAATAGGACTCGTTTTACTGTGGATATAGATACTTTTGCACCTGTTTCCTCCAGCATCTTCACAAGGTCCTTTGCTGTTGTTCTGGGATTGATTTGCACTTTTCGCACCAAAGTACATTCATCTCTAGGAGACAGAACGCGTCTCCTTCCTGAGTGGTATGACAGCTGCGTGGTCCCATGGTGTGTATACTTGTATACTATTGTTTGTACAGATGAACGTGGTACCTTCAGGCGTTTGGAAATTGCTCCCAAGGATGAACCAGACTTGTGGAGGTCTACAATTTCATTTTCTGAGGTCTTGATTTTCCCATGATGTCAAGCAAAGCGGCACTGAGTTTGAAGGTAGGCCTTGAAATACATCCACAGGTGCACCTCCAATTGACTCAAACAATGTCAATTAGCCTATCAAAAGTTTCTAAAGCCATGACATCATTTTCTGGAATTTTCCAAGCTGTTTAAAGGCACAGTCAACTTAGTGTATGTAAACTTCTGACCCACTGGAATTGTGATACAGTGAATTATAAGTGAAATAATCTGTCTGTAAACAATTGTTGGAAAAATTACTTGTGTCATGCAACCGACTTGTCAAAACTATAGTTTGTTAACAAGGATTTTGTAGAGTGGTTGAAAAACTAGTTTTATTGACTCCAACCTAAGTGTATGTAAACTTCCGACTTCAACTGTATTTGTTTAAAATCTATCACTTGACAGTTTCATTTCAGAGAGACAAGTAACCATGTATACAAATATTTGTTTTAAGTATTCAATACAGTATTATGAGATCTGTATGTAAAACATTTACATTTGAAATTGTTGTCATTTAATCAGATGCTCTTATCCAGACCAATTTACAGTGAGTGCATTCATCTTAAGATAGCTACGTTTTGCAACAACAACAAAAATCATCTAAAATGTATGAATTGAATATCTGAGATCAGTAATATTTTACGCACACATGAAAGTACACATAAGCAATGATGTCTGATGAAAAAACACAATGTGAAAAATGTGTGGATATTGTGTTTTGGAAACTCTTCACATATACAAAACGATGTGCACACCCCTTCAAAGTAGTGGATTCGGCTATTTCCACCACACCCGTTGCTGCCAGGTGTATAAAATCGAGCACACAGCCAGGCAATCTCCATAGACAAACACTGACAGTAGAATGGCCTTACTGAAGAGCTCAGTGACTTTCAACTTGGCACCGTCATAGGATGCCACCTTTCTAACAAGTCAGTTTGTCAAATTTCTGCCCTTCTAGACCTGCCCCGGTAAACTGTAAGTGCTCATATTGTGAAGTGGAAACATCTAGGAGCAACAGTGGCTCAGCCGCGAAGTGGTAGGCCACACAAGTTCACAGAACGGGACTGCCTAGTGCTGAAGCGTGTAACAATCGTCTGTCCTCTGTTGCAACTCTCACTACCGAGTTCCAAACTGCCTCTGGAAGCAACGTCAGCACAAGAACAGTTAGTCGGGAGCTTCATGAAATGGGTTTCCATGGCCGAGCAGCCGCACACAATCCCAAGATTCGGCTGGAGTAGTGTAAAGCTCGCCGCCATTGGACTCTGGAGCAGTGGAAACGTGTTCTCTGGAGTGATGAATCACGCTTCACGTTTTTTATGGTTCGGGCTAGGCCCATTAGTTCCAGTGAAGGAAATCTTAACGCTCAGCATACAATGACATTCTAGACGATTATGTACTTCCAACTTTGTGGCAACAGTTTGGGGAAGGCCCTTCCCTGTTTGAGCATGACAATGCCCCCGTGCACAAAGCGAGGTCCATAGAGAAATGGTTTATCAAGATCGGTGTGGAAGAACTTGACTGGCCTGCACAGAGCCCTGACCTCAACCCCATCAAACACCTTTGAGATTAATTGGAACGCTGACTGCGAGCCAGACCTAATCGTCCAACTTCAGTGCCCAACCTCACTAATGCTCTTGTGGCTGAATGGAAGCATGTTCCCGCAGCAATGTTCCAACATCTAGTGGAAAGCCTTCCCAGAAGTGGAGGCTGTTATAGCAGCAAAGGGGGGACCAACTCCAAATGAATGCCCATGATTTTGGAATAAGATGTTCAACAAGCAGGTGTCCACATACTTTTGGTCATGTAGTGTATGTCGCCCTAAGAGTTGGTAGAATATCAGTACAAATAATTGACACCTGTAATTTCTGCCAAAGGTGCTTCCACCAAGAATAAAACTCTGCGGTGTGAAGACATACGGAATTAACTTTGTTTTTAATTTTCATTCACTTTGAAAAAGTTGGAGCAGGTTGTGTTGGTCTGTAGGAACAAAATCAAATGTAATCCCTTTTTAGATTTAATTATAAGGCAGCAAAATGTGACAACTGTGCAAGGCACTGTATTGACAGAAGACATTACATAAAGGTTGTGATGGGATGAAACCTGGAGGAAAAAACACCTGGACCAGCAGCATTCTTGTCTGTCCATTATGTTCTCTAGTGACTGAGCCACATACACATATTGTTTTTCTTTGACCTGCTTTGTTTCCCTCTCAAAGTACTTGCTGACAAATGTATTTAAACGTTCCGCTACCGGTACTTACTAGCTTTTGTTCCGAGCACTAAGTGTGTCTTAGTATTATTTGAGTTTGAGACAGCCACCATTCTACGCATACGAAGTGTACTGTACATGTTACATTATGTATACATGGTTGGGGACATTTTATTCAGGGATTAATTGGATATTCAATTGACATAGAGAATATTCTCATTGGAAATAATAGGCAATTCACTGATTTAGAAATAGTGATTTAATATAGTGAGTGAATTGAATTGAGATGGCCCTCATCCTTGTCACACAAATCCAGTCAACCTGAATGTGTTGCTGTATGACCCATCCCTTTTTAATCCCTTAACAAATCCTGAAGTGAATGAGATGACCAGATCGGCAGACAGCCATGCAATCTCCATAGCCTAACATTGGCCTTACTGAAGAGCTCAGTGACTTTCAATGTGGCACCGTCATAGGATGCCACCTTTCCAACAAGTCAGTTCGTCATATTTCTGCCCTGCACTTCTGTCCACTATTCCTCTCCTGAAGTGAAGTGTTAAAACGCACACTAGCTTGTGTTGCAGTTACACCCACAATTTACATTGTAGAAAACATTGAGATAACTCCCACACACACGATTTAACCTCTGCACATTTACTATCAATATTTTAGTCAGAGACCTTTTTGAAGAAATGTATCTATTTTCTCCCTATTCCTCTGTCCAACCCCTCATTTCCTCTGCTACATAAATATAAACGCAACATGCAACAATTTCAAAGATTTTACTGAGTTACAGTTCATATAAGGAAATCAGTCAATTGATTACATTCACTATGGATTTCACATGACTGGGAATACAGATATGCATCTGTTGGTCACAGATACCTTTTTTAAAAAGGTAGGGGCATGGATCAGAAAACCTGTCAGTATTTGGTGTGACCACCATTTGCCTCATGCAGCGCGACACATCTCCTTCGCATAGAGTTGATCAGGCTGTTGATTGTGGCCTGTGGAATGTTGTCCTGGGACATTTTCAGCTTCCGGGAATTGTGTAAAGATCTTTGCGACATGGGGGCTGTGCATTATCATGCTGAAACATGAGGTGATGGCGGCGGATGAATTGCACGACAATGAGCCTCAGAATCTTGTCACGGTATCTCTGTGCATTCAAAT